GAGGTCTGTTGGAACTAGGAAAAAGGGGTTTATATATCTGTGGAATGACCAAGGTGGGACAAAGGACTCTTGTCTTTTGGAGCAGACAGAAAATATTGGAAGGGCTTGGTGGGCATTGACCTTGAGTTTTGCAGTTGTAGTTCGCCTACCTCCAGAGAGCAATGTGGACTCAAACGATGATGGATCTGGACCAAACTTGGCACGAATACTCAACATGCCCAAATGTGAACATTGGTGGAGTTTGGGGGAAATAGTCCTTGACATTTTGGGAGTTGTAGTTGCTGGGATTTGTAGTTCACCTACAATCAAAGAGCATTCTGAACCCCACCAATGGCAAAATTGGGCCAAACTTCCCAGATAGAACCCCCATGACCAACAGAAAATACTGTGTTTTCTGGTGGTCTTTAGTGACCCCTCTGACATTCCCTCGTGACCCCTTCCAGGGGTCCCGACCCCCAGGTTGAGAACCACTGGCTTACAGAGTCCTTATTTGACGTTTACTGATGGTTCTATGGAGAGTAATAAATATTGTTGTTGTATTGTCACAGGCTTGTTGTAGGTTTTTTCGGGTTATATGGCCATGGTCTAGAGGCATTCTCTCCTGACGTTTCGCCTGCATCTATGGCAAGCATCCTCAGAGGTAGTGAGGTCTGTTGGAACTAGGAAAAAGGGTTTATATATCTGTGGAATGATCCGGGTGGGACAAAGGACTCTTGTCTGCTGGAGCTAGGTGTGAATGTTTCAACTGACCACCTTGATTGTTGTTGTTCCTTTGCAGCTGCCCTTCCAAGACCTCGCTTTAACAGCTAGTGGCTTCCATATCAGCTCCACATTGTCATTCCTTCCCACTCCTAATCCCAGGATTAATATACTTTTGGAAGCTGACTCTCTCATAAGACTCTCTCATCCAGACCAATGGGATTAAAAGAGTGCATGAATAGAGATGCATCAAGGGGGGAAAGGGGCGTGGGGACAATCATTCATGTTCAGGCAAAGGGTTAGTTCACATTCCGGATGGGTTCTTCTTCTTTGCCTTCAACAATTCAGACTTTTTGATATATTTTTTTCTCAAAAAAGGTCTAAATCCAGGCAAAAAGATGTTTAAAAACCATATACTGGACAGGGTTTTTTTTCCCTTCTGAAATGCCAAACCTTGTATGCCACCCTGTGAGGGCACTGCTTTCCTAAGCCCAGAGGTGGAGCGATAGCTCGCAATAAATTGTACATTTCCTTATAGTGTATCCGGCAACTGAAAAGGGAAAAAACATGTTATTAAGTGGTGTCACAAAAGGTGAGGAGAAAGAGAGCCTTCTCAATGGGTTAGATTGCAATCCCCCTAAAACACACACACACACAACCAAATGAAAAGGATAAAAGGGGACAGTTCCATCTTGTCTCCCGCATATGTCATCTGCTGGGGACCCCACCCCGCAGCACAAACTGCCGCTCTGGGCCAGAGTGAAGAGAGAGGGGGCCAGGGGACAGTTCCATCTTGTCTCCTGCATATGTCATCAGTCGGGGACCCCTCTCCCCCAGCACCAACTGCCGCTCTGGGCCAGAGTGAAGAGAGAGGGAGCCAGGGGACAGTTCCATCTTGTCCCCTGCATATGTCATCAGTTGGGGACCCCTCCCCACAGCACCAACTGCCACTCTGGGCCAGAGTGAAGAGAGAGGGGGCCAGGGGACAGTTACATCTTGTCTCCTTCTTATGTCATCAGCTGGGGACCCCTCCCCACAGCACCAGCTGCCATTCTGGGCCAGAGTAACAAGAGGGGGCGCCAGGGGACAGTTCCACCTTGTCTCCTGCATATGTCATCAGCTGGGGACCACTCCCCCAAGCACTAACTGCCGCTCTGGGCCAGAAGTGAAGAGAGAGGGGGCCAGGGGACAGTTCCATCTTGTCTCCTGCATATGTCATCAGTTGGGGACCCCTCCCCACAGCACCAACTGCCGCTCTGGGCCAGAGTGAAGAGAGAGGGGGCCAGGGGACAGTTCCATCTTGTCTCCTGCATATGTCATCAGTTGGGGACCCCTCCCCCCAGCACCAACTGCCGCTCTGGGCCAGAGTGAAGAGAGAAGGGGCCAGGGGACAGTTCCATCTTGTCTCCTGCATATGTCATCAGTTGGGACCACTCCCCCAAGCACTAACTGCCGCTCTGGGCCAGAGTGAAGAGAGAGGGGGCCAGGGGACAGTTACATCTTGTCTCCTTCTTATGTCATCAGCTGGGGACCCCTCCCCACAGCACCAGCTGCCATTCTGGGCCAGAGTAACAAGAGGGTGCGCCAGGGGACAGTTCCACCTTGTCTCCTGCATATGTCATCAGGTGGGGACCGCTCCCGCAAGCACCAACTGCCGCTCTGGGCCAGAGTGAAGAGAAAGGGGGCAGGGGACAGTTCCATCTTGTCTCTTGCATATGTCATCTGCTGGGGACCCCTCCCCGCAGCGCCAACTGCTGCTCTAGGCCAGAGTGAATGGAGAGGGGGCCAGGGGACAATTCCACCTTGTCTTCTGTGCTAAGCTAAATATATATTATAATGTAATATAATATATTGTATATACATATATTATTTATAATATTATAATGTAATGCAATATAATACTACTAATAATATGATATTAAAATTATATATTTATATTACATGTAATATTACTAATAATATTCCAATATAATGGTATAGTACAATATATTAATATTTAATACTGATATTGTACTATGCTAATAATAGAATATATTGTATGTATATATACTTGTAAGCCGCCCTGAGCCCCCTTCGGGGTGAGAAGGGCGGCATATAAAATATAGTAAAATATAGAAAAAATATATAGTAAAATAATAAATGTAATAATAATAAATAGCGTAAAATAATAAATATAATAATAATATTTATTATTTATTTACGACATTTATATGCTGCCTTTCTCACCCCGAAGGGGACTCAGAGTGGTTTACAAGATATATATACATAAAATATATTTTTTTATTAGCATAGTACAGTATCAGTATTAAATATTGCTATATTGTACTATACCATTATATTGTAATATTATTACTGTTTAGCCAGTATTGCACCACCTGTAATATAACTACAGGTGGTGCAATATCAGTATTATATATTACTATATTGTACTATACCATTATATTGTAATATTATTAGTAATATTACATGTAATATAAATATAATAATATGATATTATAATTATATATTTATATTTCATGTAACATTACTATATTTATATTACATGTAATATTACTTATAATATTACACTATAATGGTGTAGTACAGTATTATTATTCTTCTTCTTCTTCTTATTATTATTATTATTACTAGCTGTACCCACCATGCGTTGCTGTGGCCAACCTTCCCTCCCTCTTTCTCTCCTTCCTTTCCTCTTTTTCTTTCTTCCATCTCTACCTGTTTCTTTCCTCCCTTTGTTTGCTCTTTGGTTACATCCTTCCTTCCCTGTATTGTCCTTGCCTAATGTATTTACAGCTGTCAGACTTGTCTTGCATTTCTTCCCTTTTGTCCTTCCTTCCCTTCTTTCTTCTTTCTTTCTTTCTTTCTTTCTTTCTTTCCTTCCTTCTTTCCCTCCCTTCTTCTCTCTTTCCCCCTTTCCCGCCTTCATTCCTTCCCTCTTTCCCTCCTTCTCTCGTTACTTCTCGACTGTCCTTTCCAACTCTATTCTGTAAGGATATTTAATTTGTATTATGTAGTAATATATAATACTAACATATTATATAGTAATGAATATAACTATATAAAATATTGTATTTATATCTTACATAGAAAGAAGGAAAGGAAGAAGGAAGAAAGGAAAAAGTAAGGGAGGGAAGGGAGGAGGGAACGAAGGGAAAGAAGGAGGGACAGGAAGGAAGGGAAAAGAAAGGAAGGAAAGGAAGGAGAAGGAAGGAAGGAAGGAAGGAAGGAAGGAAGGAAGGAAGGAAGGAAGAGGGAAAGGAAGCGGGGATGAAGAAAGGAGGGAGGGAAGGAAATTAAGGGGAAGGGAATGAGGAAAGGGAAAGAAGGAGGAAAGGAAGGGAGGAAGGAAACGAAGAAGAGACAGGAAGGAAGGGAAGGAGGGAAAGAAGGAAAGGAAGGAGAAGGAAGGGAGTAAAGGAGTGAAGGACAGGAAGGAAGGAGGGGGGAAGGAAAGGAAGAGGAAGGAAGAAAAGGAAAGAAAGGGAGGAAAGAAGGGAAGGGAGTGAGGGAGGGAAGGAGTGTGGCAGAGGCAGCTACCTCCCGGTATGGATGTTAATAGGAGAGAAAGAGAGAGAGGGAGGGAGTTAAATGCTTTTTGTTTTCGTAGGGTTTTTTTGAGTGGAGAACATACATTGGGTTGTTAGGGGTATCATGTCCAAATTTGGTGACAATTGCCCCAGTGGTTTTTGAGTTCTGTGAATACCACAAACGAACGTTACATTTTTATTTATATAGATTATATTGCATTACATATTATTATTATTAGTAGTAGCATTATATTGCATTATATTGCATTACATTATAATATTATTACCATATATATCTACAGAGCATTCCTGCTAAGCCATACAAGTAAAAAAAGGTAACCTGCCCCAAACCTGGTCCCCCTCCAATGGCTTGGATAATGATGTCCATCATCCAAATTATTTGGCATACAAGACAGGAAACAAGGAAAAATATAACAAAGCGAATAGCAATATGTTCAACGTTTATGGCATCTGAGTTCTTGTTTGGGCAGCAATACCCACTTTGCCTAATGTCAACGCTGGCTGAAATTTACAAATTCCAACAAAACGTAACCAAATAAAGCCTTCAGAGGGAATAACTGAGCACTAAAATCCTAGAAATGACTAAAAGTCTCACTAGTTGAGTATGGATGGGATTGGACAAAGGGCACCTGGAATAAGAAGTAGATGCATTACTCTAGAGCTAGTTTTTTTTTTGAAGGTGATAGGTTATATGGAAGAGAATATACCTACCAGGCAGCTGGGTCATATTCTGCCCACACTCGAATAAACTCATCAAGATGGTGAGGTCCTAGGATGGAAGAGTCGCGTGTCAAGTACTCAAAGTTGTCCATGATCACAGCCACAAAGAGGTTCAACATCTGCAAAGGGGATGGAGTGAGGAAGATGAGATCGGACGGAGAGGACGGAGGAAGAAAGACATTAACTCCTTATAGCAGTGGTTCTCAATCTTCCTAACGCCGCGACCCCTTAGTACAGGTCCTCATGTTGTGGTGACCCCCAACCATAACGTTATTTTCATTGCTACTTCATAACTGTAATTTTGCTACTGTTATGAATCGTAATGTAAATATCTGATATGCAGGATGTATTTTCAGTCACTGGACCAAATTTGGCACAAATACCCGTGATACGCCCAAAATTTGAATACTGGTGGGGTTGGAGGTGATTGATTTTGTCATTTCGTAATGCTAGTTAAAGAAGCGGAAGAGACATACGACTCCATCATGAGGGAATTGATCACACCATGGAAAGAGGACAAAGGCTTTCTGCGCGGAGGTAGGGTTGATTTTGGGAAAGTCTGGGAAGAAGCGGGGGGATCACAAGTGAGTGGGTGAGCGAGTTTTTGGAGTTGTAATTCACCTGATCAACAGAAAACTAGAAGGTTTGGTGGGTATTGACCTTGAGTTTGGGAGTTGTAGTTCACCCACATCCAAAGAGCACTATGGACTCAAGCGATGATGGATCTGGATCAAACTTGGCACAAATACTCAATCTGCCCAAATGTGAACACTTGTAGAGTTTGGAGAAAATAGACCTTGCCATTTTGGAGTTGTAGTTGTTGGGATTTATAGTTCACCTTAAATCAAAGAGCCTTCTGAACTCCATCAGTGATGGAGCATTCTGAACCCCTCTAACGATAGAATTGGGCCAAACTTCCCACACAGAACCCCCATGACCAACAGAAAATACTGGAAGGGTTTGGTAGGTATTGACCTTTGGTTTTAGAGTTGTAGTTCACCTACATTCAGAGAGCACCATGGACTCAAACAATGATAGATCTGGTCCAACCCTGGCATGAATACTCAATATGCCCCAATGTGAACACTGGTGGAGTTTAGGGGGAATAGACCTTGACATTTGGGAGTTGTCGTTCTGGGATTTATAGTTCACCTACAATCAAAGAGCATTCTGAACTCCACCAATGACAGAATTGGGCCAAACTTCCCACACAGAACCCTCATGACCAACAGAAAATACTGTGTTTTCTAATGGTCTTTGGCGACCCCTCTGACAACCCCTCGTGACCCCCATAGGGGTCCTGACCCCCAGGTTGAGAATCACTGCACTAGAGAGTTGAGAACTTTGGATATCTCCTGGAAAACCAAGAGTAGCTCTTGCCAAACTTGGATTTGTACTTTGAGGAACTTCCATTTCTCTATTAAGGAAGATTAGGATTGTAGTGTCAACAACAAATGAACCCATTAGTTGACTGAACAAGAAACATTGGTGCTTCTCCTAGGACTTGACTGTGGAGATAAAGCTTCCTCAATCCCATCCATTTCTTTCTCAGCCCCACAATTAACTTCTACTGAATCCCGGAGCGTATATACATCAAACAATTATGGATATTCCTAGGGTTTTATGATTTCCTTGATCTCTACGCAGAGGAACTAAGTGTGGTGGAGGAACCAAGTGTGGTGGAGGCTCCTTCTTTGGAGGCTTTTAAACAGAGGCTGGATGGCCATCCGTCGGGGGTGCTTTGAATGCGATTTTCCTCCTTCTTGGCAGAATGGGGTTGGACTGGATGGCCCACAAGGTCTCTTCCAACTCTATGATTCTATGAATGGGAATGTGGAAGGTTCATCGCTGCAAAGGTAAGCTGAGCTCAAGCGGATGGACTAACTCACCAGAAAGGAGCAGAGGAAGATGAAGGAGACAAAGTAAAAATAGGCAAAATCACTGCCACATTCGTTTTTGTTGAGGTTGGAGAGCTTGTCGCAGGCCCGGTTGCTTAGGCACGCAAGCATGATTTCATGCCAGGCTTCTCCAGTTGCGCTCCTGTGGGCACAAAGGGCACATGTAAGCTCGATAACATCAACATTGACTTTCAGAATTTGCTTATTATTTATTTACCACATTTATACCCCGCTCTTCTTAAATCAAAAAATAGTTTTCTAAGATCTACAGAGCCACTCGCTGGAACACCCCAGCAAGCAAGAGTCCAAAAGTGGCAGGCTCAAACCCAGAACCTCAACCAATGGCTGATACCAAATGAGAAACTCTCCCCTGGGCACACAGAAAACTGGGCAACTTGGAAGGTGCTGAACAGACTGCGCTCTGGCACCACGAGATGCAGAGCCAACCTTGAGAAATGGGGCCACAAAGTGGAATCCACGACATGCGAGTGTGGAGAGGAGCAAACCACTGACCACCTGCTGCAATGCATCCTGAGCCCGGCCACATGTACAAGGGAGGACCTTCTTGCGGCAACACCAGAGGCACTCCAAGTGGCCAGATACTGGTCAAAGGATATTTAATCAACTACCAAGCTTGCAAACTTTGTGTTTTGTCTGTTTGCTTGTTTGTTTGTTTTGCTAAAAATGTAATACAAATATCTGGTTGCTCCTGACACGATAAATAAATAACCCCGCTCTTCTCACCCTGAGGAGGACTTGGAGCGGCCTTACAAGTAGGCAACAATTTAATGCCACATTAAAAAGACATAAAATTAAAATAAACATTTACATTAAAACCAAAGAATTGAAACATCTAAACATCAAACCAATTATTAAAAGCACACAATCCAATATCGTAGTCTGGAACCATTCCAGTCGCCATTGAACATAATCCATTTCCATTTATTGCACTACATTATTATCCAAAGGCTTGGTCCCACAGCCATGTTTTTACTTTCTTTCTAAAGACCAGGAGGGAAGGAGCCGTTCTGATTTCACTAGGGATCTCCATAGTTGAGGGGCCACCACTTAGAAGGCCCTGTCCCTCGTTCCCACCAGTCATGCCTGCAAAGGAGGAGAGACCGAGAGCAGGGCCCCCTCAGAAGATGGTTCATAGGGGGAGATACATTCAGACAGGTAAGCTGGCTGGAATTGTTTAGAGCTTTATAGGCTAAAGCCAGCACTTTGAATTGTGCTCAATAGCAAACTGGCAGCCAGCGGAGCTGACGTAACAGTGGGATTGTATGTTCTGTGTATGCCACTCTGGTGAGAAATCTGACTGCTGCTCTTTGGACCATTTGAAGCATCCAAACAATCTTCAAAGGCAACCCCATGTAGAGCGCCTTGCAGTATTATATTCAGGATGTAATGAGAACATGGACATCCGTGGCCAAATCTCACTTCCCAAGGTAAGGGCACAGCTGGTGCACAAGTTTTAGTTGTGCGAAAGCTCCCCTCGCCACCGTTGAAACCTGAAGCCAAATGTTCATTTTCCTCCATATTTCAGACCAAAAACAAAACAAAAACACATGAAGTACCAAAGAACTCCAACTATGAGAATGAATTAAGCTTTCCCTAATCCTCCACCCTCATAAAAGTTGGAGGTTCATTATGTAGTCAGAAATAGGTTTCTCATTTACCGGAAAAGAAGCATCAAGGCTTGCAAAAAAGTTTGAAAGTTATTGTGTCGATTGATGGCACCGTCGTCATCTAAAGCAATGTTTCCAAATACCTGGGATGGCAAAAGGAGAAAAATGGGATTATAAGAAAGGTTGTTTGCCATCATGAGAAGTCAACATTAAAAGGGAAGGAATATGTGTTGGCGGTGGTCCCAAGGATGGGAAAGGCGTGGAACAGGAAGTACTCATTTATACCGACATGGTCCAACAAGGCACCTCCAAATGTGCTGGATTATAATGTGCATATAGAGTTAGAATGAATATTTGGAAATATTTGAAAAAATATTGAAAAATATATTTTTCTGATCAAAAGAACTGTGGCCTAATGAGAATTTTCACAATTTGAGTTAGATTCTGTGAAAAATTCAGACATGCTTAATTTGCACAGAAAACAGAATCGAAAATATTATTTTCTGTGCTGAAAAACCTTTTCTGTGCAGAAAATGCTGTAATGGTGAACTTATTCCATGAATCAAAGCTTCCTTTGTTCCTAGTGTCTGGTGTCATCCATGTGACAATGAACAATAATAGCAACAATGACAACTACAACACAGCTCAACAAAATAAAATATTTACGTCTTGGTTTATAGGTTTGTTTCCAGGTTATTTGGGACAATGTTTCAGAAAATTCCAGCATCGGCTCTAGTTTCTTAGATATGGTTATCATTGTTTTCTATGGGTGAGCAGATGGCGACTGATATATGGCATAGGATAGGAAGATTTCTCAACCTTCCTAATGGCGCAACCCCTTAACACAATTCCTCATGTTGTGGTGACCCCCAATAATAACATTATTTTTGTTGCTACGTCATAACTGTAATTTTGCTACAGTTATGAATTGTCATGTAAATATCTGTGATGCAGGATGTACAGTATTTTCATTCACTGGACCAAATTTGGCACAAATACCCGATACACCCAAATTTGAATACTGGTGGGCATGGGGGGGGGGGGTGATTTTGCCATTTGGGAATTGTAGTTGCTGGGATTTGTAGTTAACCTACAATCAAAGAGCATTCTGAACTCCACCAACAATGGAATGGAATTTACCTGCATGCCAATAATCGCGTAAATGAAGAAGAGCATGGCAATGAGGAGGCAGACGTATGGCAAGGCCTGCAAGAGAGGAAAAGGGGAAAAAAAAGATAGATGTTGACAATAGCTCGCACAACACATTTTCTACATGGTTATACCTGGACAAAGATCCATAAATAACACTATGCAACATGATTTTTGCTCCTGAGTAATAAATATCATGTCCTAATTGGATCTATATTAAAATGTGGAAAAAGATTAGATCTCAGAACAAAGGGTATGAAAAACAGGCAAACTAGGTCTTCCCAGCACATCTGAGATAAGGCTCTGAAATCCAGGTGCCTTAGACATGATTTCATGGGAATCTGAACAGATTTGAATTAAGTGCTTTGACTTCAAGCATTTCAGAGGCGATAACATTGCTAGACGGGAAACATTCTCCTGTTCATGTTTCCAAGTTCCTGATTCCTAAATTGTCAAGGTTCCTTTTTCATGTTCCTTTCTTTGCCTATGTACCTTTGAGGAGTTTACCTGAGTCAGATTTTTGTGTTCATGTTCATGGAAATTACCTTGGATTATTTCTATATTTTGGGATTTCTTGGTTCTGATATTTCCCTTGATATTGTTGAATTATTGCTACTGAACTCTGGCTTATTTTGAATACTGCATTTATATCCTGACTGTCTCTTTTTGGAATTGACATTCCCCCCCCCCCCCCTTTATATTATTTTCTCAATAAACATTTTAATACTGGACTACTGGCCTCTGGTATGATTCTGGGTGAATGGGTGCCTCAGTGCTAGTGTGCAACCTCTTGTATGTATGTTCTGGTATACAGCTTCCTTTACTCTATGGTTTCTGAGAAGATATAAGAGGGGCTACAGATCACTTTTTTTCTCTCTCTCTCTCTCCTTTTGATTATGTGAACTGTTGATAGCTGTTTTGTTACAAGAGAGATACCCTGGCCAGCTGGCACAGGGAACAATCTCAAAGATATTTGAAACTGGACTAATAAGTTTTTGTACCTGTTAGGCTTGGCTGATCAAGAAAAAAAATGGTTCTAAACTCGTTTTGTATATAGGGGGTGCTGGCGTTTCAATTTTAAAATTATTTCTCAAATTTTCTTGAAAAAAAGATCGGAAATAGCAAAAATCTGAATAGCTTCGTTTACTTCGTTAATGGAAGGTGCCCTCCCCCGTTAGTTTAAAATCTCGCAGTTTCCCTGGCCTCCCTGGCGACAAGCGGCGATGCGGTTTCCCCCAGTGGCCGTCAAGAAGAGCTGGGCATGGCCACATCCACCTCCTCCCTCTGCCATCTATCGGTCCTTTGCAGTCACCTGGGCATAGCCACTCCCACCTCATTCCCCTGCCTGCAGTTTCCCTTCTCTGTGTGACTGCAAAGGGCGATGGATGGCAGGCAGGGGAATGAGGTGGGCGTGGCTACGCCCAGCTCTTCTTGACGGCCACTGGGGGTGTGGCCTTCAGGAAGAGCTGGGCGCGGCCACGCCCATCTCACTCTTCCGCATCGCCGCTTGTCGCCAGGGGGGCCAGGGAAACTGCGAGATTGTAAACCTTGACCAGACATACGAAAATAATTCCGAAAAATGGGTAAATTGTTTCAATTCGTTATTACTCCTCACACTATTCCAGCATGGCTCGAAATTGTTTTAAAAGTAATTTAAATACGAATTCATTCCGATTTTAGAAACTTCCGAGCCAGATCAACCAAGCCTAGTACCTGTGTATGCTGAACACATGAAAGTTGTGAAGAAATCAAATATATTATTTCCATGAACGTCTACTTCATTTTTGTCTCTTGAGTGGATAATATGATACAAGTTGTTTTATGGGAGGGTACCTTTTGGGGCACTGAAAAAGAGAACACTTCTAAAGCTCTGCTGTTCTTACGCACTGGCAAATCTCTGTCTTCCTGACAGATCGGAGATGTCAGGTTATTCAGTCTAACAACTGAGCTCTTTGCCTAGCATAATTATATTTGATCATGTACTACAAGAGGAGATCCTGCTGTAAAGGGTTTTTGGCTCTTCTCTAAAAGGTTATGTTCTTTAAAAAGGGCAACTACTTTCCAAGTAAGGACTGGACAATTAAACAGGAAGAGCATTTTTTCCCCGAAGTTTGTTACATGGTGTAATGCATTCCCGTCTCAAGGGGAAAGAATAGTTTTTCATAGCAGTTACGAAATTGATCCTGGGATTGTGGAAGGAGGAGTGAGGCAAGGTGTTGGCAGTCAATGGCACCTTCTACAATCATATCAACCTGAGAAGAGGCTCTTGGGCTCGCCTTTGCCTTACCTTGAAAGACTGTACGAAGGTCCAGAGCAGGATCCGGATGGTATAGCCCTGGCGAAGGAGCTTGATCAGCCTGGCCGCCCGGAAGAGCCGGAGGAAGCTGAGGTTGATGAAATTGTCCTGCAAAGAGGAAAAGGGTTTTGTGTCCTTCAGACAAGGATGGGATCGGAAGCCGCAGTCCGCAAAAAAGAAAAGAAAATTACCGGCTTTGCGTTCTAAGCAGCAAATCGGCCACCAGAAAACCTTCCAAAAGAAACATTTGTCAGTGCAGGTCACTCTCCACATGCAGCACGTTTTGAGAAAACCTCTCTCCATGAGAGTCCCTCCCTCAGCTATGGGGAAGATGGCAAAAAGGGAGTCTGAAGACAGAGAGGACTCCTCTCCCAAGGAGTCCTGTTTGAACCCTACATTATCTTGTAAGGAAGGCTGGTGGGTTCTACACTGAGAGAAACATGCACCGAGGCTTTAACCTGCCAAAACAATGGCAAGGGAGGTCAGCCATGAGCCCCTTCCATCTTTGGACTTCCTTCAAACATCTTAATTTGGAGGAGGAAATGAACATCCTCTACAGACCTTCATCACAGAGGAGTTTTTGGGAACCGAGGGAGCTGGAAGGGGCTCCAATCCCAATTTCTCCATATTGTCTGCAGGGAACATTAGTTTCAACGCACTGGTTGTCTTACAGGAGACCCTCATAACTTCATGGAGTAGTCTGAGAAGACACCAATGTGTTGTGCTCCCATAAAATGGATGGAAAGCATAAGCAACTCCATAAATCTCTTTCTGCAGTCCTACATCTTCTGGACAGAACCTGGCCATGAAGTGCCTCCTTCCAAAGGAGCACCATTGATCTATTAAATAGGTTGTAGGACCTTCAGCAACAAGCAACATTGTTGATTAGAGCTTTCAGAAGTTTGTGTAGCACTGTGACTGACTCCTTGCCTTTGGGAGTAGACCTTCATAGGTTACTTTTTCAAGCAAGACTTTCATTGCTGTATCCTTGAACTTAGGGATTGATGGATGGACATCCTTCAATCCCTAAGCAGATAATATGAGATGAAATCCTGGAACCCTATATCCCAGGATCTCATCCCAGATTATCCGTTTTAAACTGGATTATATGAGCTCCCACTTCCAGATAACCTGGGATAAACAGATAATCTGGGATCAGATCCTGAGGGAGCTTCCGGACAGCAGCAAATCATGGGTTTTAATCAGGGGGAAAACTCAGGACTTCAGAAGAGGTCCATACACAGACCTATTCGTCCTGGGATTTCTCCTCCATCATCCATATTTGCTCCCTTGTTGCAAGATTTAGAGGCTTCCAAGACTTCCATTGGAAATTTCAACGGGTTTTTAATTTTTAAAAAACTTAAGATGAAAATATGTGAAGATCCGAATCACTGTATAAGTTCAATTCCTGGGTTATATAAGTTGCCAGGCCATCTGTGCAAACAGGGTGCTGTTCCTGGGTTATACATGTCTGTTCTTGATTGCTCTTATTGTGAAAAGATGTACAATGTTGACAACTTTGTTCTGGTGAGAGAAAATGTGCTCTCCACACATTTCATGAAGTCTCTGACACACAAAGATTTTGCATTCTACTCAACTGTCACTTTCTTGTCAGGAACCGACCAATCAGGAACAAACATCTAAAACCCAGGAACAAACACAAATAAAAAATCCTGTGATTTCCGAATACAGGAACATACAGGCATTTGAAGATGTGGATTTTCGGCACAGAACCAGGATATTCCCGCACCTGGAAATATCGTGTTTTTGCTGTTTGTAGTGTTTACTTCTGCATTTATGGGGAATGGTATCTGGCCACCCTCCTGTTTGCTGCAGAAGCTCCTGGAATAAAGGTATTGTCTGGACAAGCCCTGAAATATAAGGGCAGCATAGAAGGAGCCTAGGTAGGTAGGCAGACAGAGCTATAACGCTAGCCACAATTTTAACTTGTCCTCTTTGGTGAATGCTGATAAGCACCCAAGACAGGCCTGGATATGAAGACCTTGGAAATTCATGGGAGACTTTTAGTAAATGGTTCTTGTAGAAGGTCAAGACAACTTCACAACATCTATAGCTCTTTTGAAGTTCATAGTTCAAAGCCATGTTAAAGGCGAGCTTTGATATTTCTTGGAAATATCCTTGCAAATTCATGGGAGACTTCTAGTAAATGGTTCCTGTAGAAGGTCAAGACAACTTCATAGTGCAACGCTATCTTCAAAGCTCATAGTTCAAAGCTATGTTAAAGGCCGTTTGTTTGTTGTAGGTTTTTTTGGGCTGTACGGCCATTTTCTAGAGGCATTCTCTCCTGATATTGAGCCTGCATCTATAGCAAGCATCCTCAGAGGTTGTGAGGTCATCTCACATCCTCAGAGGTTGTGAGGTCATCTTGTAGAAGGTCAAGACAACTTCACAACAAGTTGGGAACATCTATAGCTCTTTCAAAACTCATCGTTCAACGGTATCTTAAAGGTGAGCTTTGATATTTCTTGGAAATATCCTTGGAAATTCATGGGAGACTTTTAGTAAATGGTCTTGTAGAAGGTCAAGACAACTTCACAAGAAGTTGGGAACATCTATAGCTCTTTCAAAACTCATCGTTCAACTCTATCTTAAAGGTGAGCTTTGATATTTCTTGGAAATATCCTTGGAAATTCATGGGAGACTTCTAGTAAAGGGTTCTTGTTGAAGGTCAAGACAACTTCACAACAAGTTGAGAACATCTATAGCTCTTTCAAAACTCATAGTTCAACGGTATCTTAAAGGTGAGATTTGATATTTCTTGGAAATATCCTTGGAAATTCATGGGAGACTTTTAGTAAATGGTCTTGTAGAAGGTCAAGACAACTTCACAACAAGTTGGGAACATCTATAGCCGTTTCAAAACTCATCGTTCAATAGTATCTTAAAGGTGAGCTTTGATATTTCTTGGAAATATCCTTGGAAGTTCATGGGAGACTTTTAGTAAATGGTTCTTGTAGAAGGTCAAGACAACTTCACAACAAGTTGGGAACATCTATAGATCTTTCAAAGCTCATAGTGCAACGCTATCTTAAAGGTGAGATTTGATATTTCTTGGAAATATCCTTGGAAATTCATGGGAGACTTTTAGTAAATGGTCTTGTAGAAGGTCGAGACAATTTCACAACAAGTTGGGAACATCGATAGCTCTTTCAAAGCTCATAGTTCAAAGCTATGTTAAAGGTGAGCTTTGATATTTCGCCACTTGTTGGATGGTCACCACTTCTCCCAATCTTTCACGGTTGGTTCTGTATTTTTATGTCTCTTGATTTTTTTTAAAGTCTAAAAATCCTGTTAGAGAACCTGTCCACTGCATCGATTGATCAAAACGCCTTGTGGCTGGGGAAGCCAATTCGCCTGAACCGGAAATGTGAGAGCCTTTTCTTTCTTGAAAGCTCCATTACAAGTTTGACATTTCCTTGAGAAGGGGGGAGAGGGAGGTGTCACATTCAGAGAGAGGCCTTATAAGACAGATAAAGCAATCTTGCTTGCTCCCACCCAGCCATTTTAAAGAAACTAACAGATGCCTGCCAAGAGGAAAGCCACTCTTTGGGCGCCTTGCTAATCCAAACGCATGAGGTCTGTGGCTTCATCCGATGCCAGCCAGCCAGATATTGTGCCAGCAACACGCCATTCCACCACTACTGTCAAAACTCAAGGAAACCAACTGCTGACATGCATTGAGCTTGGCTGGCTTTTCCTTTCAAAAGAAAAATAAATAAAGATGCAAGCAGTGCTCAGATCGGGGCGTTCATCCCATACCTCCTTGAGACTGAACCTTCACAGGAAGAGAAAAGCAAAAAGATGTCCACCAAACAAGGAGACGACACCAAGCAAGGCAAAGAGATGAACAGAAATTTTCCAGGGCTACTTTGGGAAATGCATTAAGGAGTGTGGGTCCTGCGTTGGTTTTCTCTTGAAATAATATCCCAATTGCTTACCAACAATACGGATGGGCAACTTGTGGCCTCCTAAGTAGTATTGGACCATACCTCCCATCAGTCCTAGGTGACATCAAGGGATGATGGAGATGTAGTTCAACAAGTTGCCTGTCCTCTTGTTGTACAGCTTCACAGTTGCAGAGAACCCCCAAACAGCATTAACATCAACACAATACTCATGTCTTGGTGTGTTTAATATATAGTCGACCCTCAATCTATAATGACCCTATGAATTTCATAAGATTTTCCTAGGTAATTTTGTCAATGGGTTATTTAAGCTGTATTTTTGGTTAATTTTTTAATCTAGTATTAAGCTTATAGTTAGGTTGCTTGTATATTGTTTGATTTATCTTGTTTGGATGTAATTTGTGAATATGTTCTTTGTAGGCACTGAATGTTTGCCACATGTGTTGGAAATCACCCTGAGTTGTTTTGGGGAAATAGGATGATCTACAAATGAATTATTATTATTATTATTATTATTATTATTATTATTATTATTATATACAACAAGATTAGTACACAGCAAACAGGATCACTATGCTGACTTTTGTATTTCATCACACGCTGGACACTTCCCAAGTTGTTTTTTTTTTGGTCGTGTCAGGAGCGACTTGAGAAACTGCAAGTCACTTCTGGTGTGAGAGAATTGGCCGTCTGCAAGGACGTTGCCCAGGGGACGCCCAGATGATTTGATATTTTTATCATCCTTGTGGGAGGCTTCTCTCATGTCCCCACATGAGGAGCTGGAGCTGATAGAGGGAGCTCATCCGCCTCTCCCCGGATTTGAACCTGCGACCTGTCAGTCTGCAGTCCTGCCGGCACAGGGGTGTAACCCACTGCGCCACCGGGGGCTTCCCAAGTGTCTAGGACTGCATAATGTATCTGTGAATAATGCATGCAGATATGAGTAGGGTGGCCTTTTGCAGCTGGTAGATTGTAATTTTGTCAGCACTGATTGTTTTTAAGTGCAGGCCAAGGTCTTTAGGCACTGCACCCAGTGTGCCGATCACCACTGGGACCACCTTGACTGGGTTGTACCAGAGTCTTTGCAGTTCAATCTTGAAATCCTCGTATCATGTAAGCTTTTCTTATTGTATTATTATTATTATTATTATTATTATTATTATTATTATACCTTTCTCTGAA